TTTCCAGAAAAATCCTTTCTTCCCCTTAACATATTCTGGTAAATACCTTGCCCAAATGCTACCCATTTTCAATGTCAGTGCCTCCACCAGGGTGTCCTGCGTCTCTACCCTTCCCAACCACCTCTCACTCTGCCCCTCCCTAGACTCACTGGGTCGAAGTGTTTGTGAAACACCTAAGAATGATCAGTCTGAGGTAAACTTCAAGGATGACTAGATTGACTCATGTTTTCTTCCCTCAGCCATCTCTCTCCCTCTCTCCTTTAACCCCTATTTTTCTTACCCTGGTTTATATTTTAGTTGTTTACTTGTCTTGTAAATCATCATTTTGTAGGTTTTTAATAACCATGGAAATTCATACTGCTTTTTGCCATAGAGTTTAGAAGGAACTTACATTAAACAATGTTTTTCCAACCCTTTGATGTGTGTGATATGTTCCAACAAAATTCAAGTGGCTTCTTGTTTTTGTAAGTCTTCATCATTACCTTTTAGAATTATAGTCACCCCACACCTTTCTTTTGATCTGACCAATACTTCTTTTATTCTCTAAACTTTTCGATGGCAAGACACATGTGAGTAGTCCCTCAAGCACCATCAACTAGGCTACCTCGCAATTACTCACATCTGTTTCCTTGATTTGTCCCCAAATAAAGATGTTTCTGAAACTAATAATAAATTGTACTGAGTGGTTATTGTATGAAGAGCACTATAACAGACACTTTAAGGAGAACCAATGGGAAAGAATATTTAATTCCTCAAATAAGTTTGCAATCAAATTAGGCATCAAGGGGACCCAGGAGCTGATCAGAGCAGGATCCTAAGAGAAGAGTTTGTATTCAAAGGAGGTTAAAATTGGACTGAGATAAGATTTTGCCAGTCATCTCAAGTCATAAGCATTTTGCTGACCTTTGAGAATTTATTTACATATAAATAATCCAACATATGGGGTAAGAGTCCTGATACTGTTTAATTTCTTTTTATTATCCAGGACTTTGTAATAGATGTGGCTATTCACAATTAATAAAAACCATAATGTGTAGAGAGACTACTTTCGTTTGCCTGATATTATCAATTCTTACCCAAAGCTTAAATTTTTAAAAGATCAAATTTTATTCTATGTACCTTTCATCTAGTCCATTTGCATTAGAAAGGTGCGAGGAGTTTTAGGAAAATGCTTCAAAATACAATTTTATATGTACAGTTTACTCTTGACCAGCATGAGAGTTAGAAGCACCAACCACCCACAAAGTCAAAAATCCGTGTATTACTTTTGACTCCCCCTAAACTTAACTACCTATAGACTGGAAGCCTTAGCCATAACATAAACAGCTGATTAACACATATTTTGTATGTCATATGCGTTATATACTGCATTCTTACCATAAACTAAGCTAGAAAAAAGAAAATATTATTAGGAAAATCATAAGGAAGAGAAAATACATTTATAGTACTGTATTTTTGGGAACAAAATCCACATATAAATGAACCTGCACAGTTCAAACCCGTGTAGTTCAAGGGTCAACTATAATTTCAAAAGCAAAAAATAACTTAAAAATTTGGCAGTAACCATTTTGCTATTGTATATTAATCTTTAACATAGGAACAAACATTTTTAGAGATAATTATATATTGCAGAATATGAAAGGTTTACAGTTCAGTATCTCAAATACCAAAAAATATAAAATAGAATTGAAAGAGAATCCTATTACAGTTCTTTGAAATAATCCTTTCGACATAGCAGATTTTCAGAGTGTGTCACTTGAAAATAAATAATCAATAAATGAGGTCCTAAATAATGTAGTTTTATCTGAAAACCTTCTAATTCCATAGGGCCATCAATAAAAGCCCTCAGGGAGAAAGCCATAGCTCTTTCTTTTTGCTTGAATGTCAGCTGTATTTGCTTTAAGCATCAGATTCTCTGGCAACACCACAGCCTTTACCTCCTTTTAGTTGAGAAAAGGCCTTATGAGTCATGGGTTTCTTTCTAGGGATATGGAGCTCTCGGAATTATTAACTACAGGGAGAGAGTAAAAGTCAAAACTCATTCAATAAATTCCAGTATGCTCAGATTGAGAGAACAGGTGCCTGAACTCACATCTGAAGAAAAACTTAGAGGGCGCTTTCCAACCCTGCTCCATGCCTCTGACTAAGCAGTCCTAGAGATCTCGCATTACCCCCACAGAATAATGCAGGCAGCCTGCGATGGACAAGAAACCCTCTTCTGTTCATCATTCATACAGAAGAATCTGGCTTAAAACCTCGCATTTCCTTCCGTAGTGGTAATTTATAGAGATACAGAACTGCCATCTAGTGACTAAGAAGAAAAAAGCAAGGTGCTTTACATGAAAATTGTAAGGTTTTTTTTTCTTTTTAAAGAGCAGTGAAACACTGAAGTTAGCAAAATTGGCACAGTTTAGCATACCAAAGTTATACTAAAACTTAAAAATGTACAGGTAAGCTAATGAGTCTCTCTGAAACATATCTTGACATTTGACCCTTACAAATGATAGAGTTTAAATACAATAGAATAACTTTGAAAAGAAACTTCTCATCCACCAATCTAATGATTTTGGCAATAGCCATAGGGCAATTCCTCACGTAAAAGTATATTTTATCATAGTGTAGCGAATATGAGGTATAAAATCAAAGAGACCTATATTCAAATCCTGGCTCTTAACCCTTTCTTAATTTTGTGACTGTAAGCAAGTGAACTACTATAAACATCTTTTTCTGTATCAGTTAAATATGAATTATAATAGTTACTTTAAAGGACTATTGTAAGAATTGCATAAGATAATACAGTAAAAGAGTACGTGCACAGTAGATTGGTAATTAATTCTAGTTTCCTGTATCCCTTTGATGGCCAGTTACTTTAAGCACTTATGAAACATACGCATATCTAAGAAAAGAACCAATCCATAAGTAAACTTATGACAAAGAAAGTAAGCGATGTCATTGTTGAGGACTTAACCTCAATTGCTTCCAAATATTGTTTCCTCTCAATTAATTGTATTTTCTGTCTTCTAGAGAGTTCACTGGCAACAAGGAAAGAAGATGTGAAATTTAAACCAATCTAATTCACCCTTGAGTTTCCAAAGCTGTAACATCAAGCATTTGTAAATCACCCAGTGCATCAGGTTTTCTGCTTATTATAATATATTTTACCATGGTTCACAGTTCAAGAGAAATAGAAAAATCACTGTAATTGTACACACATGGATATCTTGAGTCTTAATATATAGAGCAATGTTGCACATGTTTATCATTTTTGATAGTACAGATTATGTTTTGTTGAGGCTTTCTTTGGCATTATCATATATAACAAAAATTCAGTAACATATGCCCTGGAAATAAGAATTTAGAAAAATCTAATATATTATCTCAGATCACAACTTAATCATGCCTCAAAAAAAAAAAGCCTGTAAAAAAATGAGAGGATATTTTGAGGGCACTGTTTTTCTTAATTATTTCTGAATTTATTTCACTTTACCTCTTTTTATCTTTCTTCATCTCAATACTGCTGGCTAATCATTACACAGTTAATTAAATAACCATCAGCTGAGAACACCAACCATCTCCCCATCTCCAAGTGCCCTGGCCTCATGTAGGTCTCTGCTCTGACAAAAAACTAGGAGAACATGTTTTATGACACTACCCTTAAGAGTGTTCTTAATGTTAAAATAACGGCGAATGTATCTACATTTTTGAATTATTATTATTATTATTTTAATTGAGAGAGAGAGCGCACACAGGGTGGGATGGCACAGAGGGAGAGAGAGAGAGTCTTAAGCAGGCTCCAAGCCCCACCTTAATTTCAGGACTCTGAGATCATGACCTGAGCTGAAATCAAGAGTCAGATGCTTAACCAACTGAGCCACCCAGACACCCCAATTATTAATTTTTTTAATTGAAGTATAGTTGACATCTTAGTTTCAGATAGGTAAGATAGGTGAAGGGGATTAAGAGGTACAAACTTCCAGTAATAAAATAAATAAGTCATAGGGATGAAAAGTATAGTGTAGGTGTCAGTAATATTGTAATAACTTTATAGCTGTATTTTTCTTAAGTATGAGTAAGTTTTAAAATAAAGTTCTTGACCAATGTTATACCCTCACTTCTCCTCCAGGGGGAGCACAACTTTTCATGTACGCTGCAGGACTGCCGCTTTTTAAAGGGGAAGCCATTTTTTAACTTGGGAAAGTTCTCAAAAAACCATCAAATTCTTTAATCTTACAGAGAAAAATACTATGTCCCAGATAGCTTAGTATGTTGTTACATACTAACCAGAAACCGAGCTGGGCCTAGAACCTGATGAGAGTCTTTTCTTCTACTAGACCACACTGGAGGACAGACTCTTCTTACTGACAGTTTCTAATACTAAGCGATTTTCTAAAGATTTGTTGGGAGAAAGTATAAATACATTTTTAAAAAGTGGTTTTGTATCCAAAAGAACAACTGCTATCCACAATTACTACTCCATATAAGTTTTTCCTTTCTTGCAGTCTTTTTTTCTTTACTAGTATTTTGACATAAGAAAAAACACATAAAATTTGGCTTTTTTAGTAACCATATAAAGGTTTCTGTGGAAATTAAACAGACACTAGTGTTTCATCCACCAAAGCAACTTAAGAATATGATTTGATTTTAGAAAATCTGTGGCATTTTTTTTTTAAACTCGTATCCATGTGACTGGTAGTTCAGCCAGGCACATCTCCACGTGACATCTGGAATGGCCGCCATTTCCTGCTGGAACCAGCTGCTGTCAGGCCCAACTCTTTGGCCAGATATAGAATGATAGTTGATTTTCTTTGCAAAGCCTAAATGGAAGAAAACATCCCCTTCCACATGACTGCATTCCCCTAAAGGCTTGGAGAAATAAGGGCGACCTAAGCTAGCTGGCAGATGAAAAAATAAATCAGAGTCTGTCACAATTTTAAGACAAGTAAGAGAGAAAGTAAGAAAGAAAGAGAGTAGGATTCGACATCCTAATAAGCTCTTCTTACCCGCTGAACAGCATCTGAACATTTTTTTGGAGTTTCCAGAACAGCAGACTGAGATTCTGGTTTGGAAAAGAAGAAGATAGTCAGTATCTTAAAGAAGAAAATTTCTCCCATTTCCTCACCCAGAAAACAAAACTAACTAAAACATATCTTTAACCAGAAGTACCAAAAACATCCCATTTATCTTCCAATTATACTTCTGTATTAGAAAGGACATGACTACTTTTCAGTATATATAACACATATAATGACGAACACTCACGTCATTATTTTTAAAATTGAATAGCCTCATGTCCTTCTTGACACATCAATCATTATTGTTCGCAATTGCCAGCTTCTTTTTTGTGCCAGGAAGTACCTATTGAAACATTCACTTATTTTATTTTTCACTTAGCTAAAGTCTGCACAATGAAAGAAGCCAACTCACCAACCTTGAAAGACAGAATTCAATTGTCTTATCTGACTATTGACAAATTACCTTCTAATTCCACTACCACCAAGAGGCATTAGTAATAAGGGGTTCTAAAGGGATTTCGTTCCTCCCTTTGTCACTTAAGAGTCTATGAGACTGCAAATTCCTGCTGGAAAACCTAAGGGATAACCAATTCCAGGATTATTTTTTAAGCTAAGGGACAAATTTCTTCTAAGTGAAGCTTGCATGAAAGTTTAAAAACAGAAAATAAAAACAAAAGGGCCTTCAGAAATCCCCAGTGCTCCACGGAGAACTGAAAACAACTGTTCTGTCTGAGAACAACTCCTCATGTCTACTGTTCACTTTTTACAGCTGAGAAATCAGAGGCACATAATATAAGCAATTGGTGGGAAGCTGAAGACTAGAGCTTGTCTCCTGTCATACCGCTCCCCACCCCCAACTGGCATGAAGACCAGACACTTGACAAGAAATAACAGTCACTCTTGAGGATAATTTAATTCCTATTTTAGCAGCATTTTAGTTGATACATGTGACAATGCTATAGAAAAATAAAAGGTGCCCATCACTTAAATTTTATATGTTAAACTACACTGAAAGTTTCCATTTCACTGAGATTAAAGCACAGTCTCTGCACAGGCCCAATGACCTTCTTTCATCTGTCCACAGTCCCTGACCTCTCTGACCACCTCTGCCTTTCCCCACCTGCTCACTGGGCTGTGTCCACACTGGCCTTCTTGCTACCCTTTAACATGCTGCCATGTTCCCTCCACAGGGTCTCTGCATATCCCCCCTGCCTTGCCCCTTCCCTAGGGCTTTGTTCCAGACTTCGGCACTCTTTTTAATAAAGTGGCAATCCCACCCACTGCTAGCACTCCTCATTCCCTGTCTCTTACTTTCTTTGTAACATGGAACATCACATAATATACTACATAATTCACTTGTTTGCCTCCTAATTTTAATTCTCTTACTCTACTAGAACATAAGGCAGGGATTTTTGTCCTTTTTCCCCCTTATATCCCCAGCATCTAGAATAGTGTCTGGCACACAGTAGGTGCTTAAAATATTTGCTGAGTCATTGTAGGAGTGAATAGAAGGAGTGATCAAAAGAATAATCAAACCATGAAAGGGGGCATCCTGGGAAAGGGAAAAGAGGAGTAAGGATTTCATAAGGGGCAAAGATATCCCTTTGTCTTTAGCTACTTCCTGCAGCTCGGCTTAAGGTGTATGTCTCAAAACAAAAATCCTTGAGAAGAGCATGAAGTAGTCACTTACCAACAGATGTCACTGTGGCAATAGAATATTAACAAGTGGCCTTAAAACACAAGCATTTTCCCAGACAAGTATTCGACTTCGTTGAGGTAATCGAAAAGGGATTCTTCTTTCTTATACCGACAAATCTCTACTCTGACCTTAACAGCAGAGTTAGCCACTTTTGAATAAACATCCTAACGTCAAAGCCAACCAGCAGTTAATATTAGCAAATCCAAACCCTGGAACACTTTTGGTTTTAGTTACCTCCAAATCCCCAAACACAATAGACTCTAGATAAGGTCCTGGGGCTTTGTATTGATGGAGAACACTTTTCTTCCTCTTCTTTCTATTTAGATAGTGCAGGGAGAATCCAAAGGATCTCCCAGCGGAACATCAACAGTTCTTTGCATTAGAAATACACACAGTGTTTCTTAGCATTTCCCCTATAGCCCTAGGCCTGGTGACCTACCCTAAAAAGCAATCTGTGTTCTCTTTAATAAGAGAACTTATTAAACTTTATTTAAATAGTATGATTTATGGGAGATGTTTTTAATTCTAGTATACCATGTCCTTCAATAAATGAAGATATTCTCTACAAAGAAGAATGCATACAGTTTACCAGAACAATGAACTAGAAAGACACTCAGTCACTTTTTGGAATCCCCCTCCTCCCAAACTTTTAGTTTCCCTCTGTTGAATTATAAATGGTGCCTGAAATGAATTAATTCTCCCACCCCCCTCTTCCACTATACTTATTTCTTTGAATCAGTGTAAGAGAAAACATCTAAGAGAAATTTATGGCAAAATGCTCTCTTCAAAATCATAAACTGAAGCATAGGAGTTCTAGAGTGTCAAGATTTTAAGATGAAAAAGATGTACAGAGTAACTGTACTGCAAAAACAAAAGGTAAAATGAAGAAAACTAAGAGAAAAGTAAAAATTAAGGAGAAGGTAAATAAGAAAAAAAAATCCAAAGAAGGGATAGGAGGGAGAGAATAAAGAGAAGCATGAGATATGGCACAGAGTGGTGTGATTAAAGAGAAAATGGCATGTTTGCAGCAAATGATAAGTAAGCTGGTTTCTGAGTATCTGCTCAAGGCTAGGGTCACTGGGCAAGTGAATTTGAGAAATCCACTTAGTTCTAACATTCTTAGAATGATCACCTCAGGTACAAACTCCCATGACACTTGTTACCAACACTCTCATCTTCCAGCATCCAGGGGCTTTCCGGAATTGCCTTCCACTCAGCTCTAGAACTGACAGTTCCCATTACATATTCATCAACCAGGATGGTTGTTTTTAAAGAGTAACCCAGTGAGAGCTCTCTCAAAGGTACATTTAAAACTGCCAACTCCTTCTCTCTCCCTTTTTAAGAATTCAGAAACTAGACTGTTTTTAAAACCAAAACAAAACAAACATCACTGTGAAGCAAAGTAGGAGAAAGAACATTCCTGACAAAACTTTAAGTGTCCTCAATAATTGATAATCTAAAATTCTGGGCTCCTCACAATTCCAAACATGTTTCAGAGATGAACTCTTCTTTATCATCACAAAATAAGCCTATGACTTGTAAAACAAAACATACTTGGATGAGTTTTACATTTATAGGGAGAAAGGAAATAAGTAGGATATGCCTCCCTGCTATGAATGGAAAATAAATTAAATCACCCTTTTAAAGCATATAAAGCATGCCTTTTAAAAATGAATTGAGCAGTCTCCAAACAGTTTTACACTGTAAGTAAAAAGGCACTTACATAAAATTATTAAAATACAGTTTCTCTAATGATATATACATCAATTTGATTCAAGTCTAGTCAATTTAATTGAGAGAGAACTTATTAAACTTTATTTAAATAGTATGACTTATGGGAGATGTTTTTAATTCTGGTATACCATGTCCTTCCATAAATGAAGATAGAGTTAAACATGTAATTTTCCTAAAAGGTCCCAACCCTATGATCTGCTTATTTGATTATCTCACAGTATGGATATGCCCCTCATTGCTAACAAAGGATATGGACACACAAGCTTTAGCTTGCATATATGAGAGAGAAATGAAAGCCAAAATTACAAAAAAGAAGAAGAAGAATTTATTATTATTATATTATTATTATTATTATTATTATTATTATTATCATCTATAGGAGACATGGTCAATCTTTCAGTCTTTTCTAGCACATTTTATCCCTTGCCCACGTGGGAAGCTGAGAAATAGAACACTATCAAACTCTTCCTGGGTTCCTTATAGAATTTCTTCATTACCCCAACTGAATATTTGTTAAAGCATTCAGCTACATCTGGAAATGAGTTGATGATACTGTTTGCATTGCATCACACAGAATCTTATTAGGAACCATCAGAAACACTTATTTTTTTATATAGAAGGCCAGAAAAGGGCTTCTCTGAAACACTTTTGCTTTTAACCTCATGGACACAGGGGATGATTATAGAATTGTCCCCATTTCCCTCTTTGCTTTAAACCTGAGGAAAAATTTCCAACTACCTTTGAAAATTCCAAGTGCTTCTGCAATACATTTGTGTGCTACCTTACCCCTGGCTTCATTTTATTCTTCCATCCTAAATTCCTTTCAGTTTGATTTATTTTCCTTTGTAATCCTTCTGTATACCTTAGATATTTATATGCTGCTCAAACCTTTTCTGGAGCAAAGGTGGGTTACACTGCTTTCAGCCAGCATGTAACCACGACTTTTAGGATTTCTATATAAAAAGTCTCTGCCATGTTTCTACCACCTCTCCTTCCACATAGTTTCCTCCAGGATTTTCTGTCCCCAAATTGCCTTCCTAAATATCACTCCTCTTGGCCATTGACATTTTCAGAGAAAGATAAGGGGCTTGATGTTTCAAAGACACAATAAGAATGATCAATTCCTTATACACATCTAGACATCCTGCCCCTATTCTCCATAAATTTGAAAACTAAAGTTAATTATCTCTTTGATTTCTTGAATCAGTGAATAACTTTTGAAATTTGGTATTGAGCCTGGTAAAATGGTCCATGGGCTGTTTCAGCACACACACAAAACTCTCTCTCAAACTCCTGCATGAATGTGCTAAGGAGATATTTATTTAGATCTTTTTCAACAAAAGATCTTACTTTACTGGCTTAAATATTTAAACATATACTATGTGCCCAAAGGTCTTGAAATGTTGGGAGTCTCCAAGGAATACAGATATGTATAAACAGAAAAATTATAGTGCATAAGTAATGTGAATAATACAGATATGAATAAAATGCCATGGGAGTCCAGAAAAAAGAACCACCACAGAGGGTGGGGAGAGGCACCAAAGCTTTATTCACCTTGACCTCTGCACTTCCAATCCATACAAAGGAGGGTTGGTTCTTTCACCATTATATGAAAGGTGGAGAAGAGCCTCTCTTACAGAAGGGATTACAAAAACATGTAAGTCAGATGCATGAGAAATCTGAATTAGCTGGACATGTGAATTAGTAATCAACAATGAAAATGAGCCTCAAGACAGAAAAACAAAAACAAAACCAAGTTTTCAGTTTTCTAAGATGTAACTAAAAATCCTTCTTCTTCAAAAGAAAAAAAAGTCATTGAACTCTTTTACTTTAAACTAAAATTGAAAGGAGCCACATGTTGCAAATACTGGTTTTATAACCATGATGTCACTACACAACAAGGTAGAGCAACCAATCATTAAGTGTACTGCAAAGAGTTTATTACTATTAATAATTATGTTATCAAAGTTTGCACCAAATCTATATATTTGAAAGCTGTAGATTCCATGCAAGGTTTTTGCTATATTACTGACATTCTCACTCTTAAAACTGACTGACTGACTAGAAGGGAGAGGGTGGTATGGCTCTCAGAAGGAGAATGGTCCACAGAGTCACAGCAGGATAAGTTTAGAAAATGCCATTAGATCATTTGGACAAAAGAATGCTATATGGCTGTTGAGGTTTATAACAGATCAACTGGAGAAAAACAAGTCACTACACAAAATTATTTTCTACTTACCTCCATCATCCTCTTCAAGAATGCATACTTTAAAAGGATACAAGTTACTATATTATAAATTACTTGACTGGCATTTTGCAGGCTACACCAAATAACAAAGAGAAAACTAAGTTACAAAGTTCCTGGTATCCATTCCAATGATCATCTTTTACCAAACTAAAATTTAGATTATCACTAGCTTTCTATCTACTCCTCCTCTGGTATACAAAATCAATAATATAAAATATTTTGAAACTTTTTTAAGGTGCCTTAAAATTTTAAAGGAAAATATAAGTATTTCAAAAAAGTGGGGAAAACATACTAGGGCAGAAAAAAATGAAAATACCACACTAATCATGATGTAAAACACAAGACATGGACAACTGTTAAGAGAGCACTCAATGAAACTGATCAATTCTATTATATCTACACCTGGCTATTTCCTACCAAGAAGTTAAAGTGATTTTTAACATGAATAACATAGTGTACTTAACAGGAGCAATATTTTTAGTTGTGTGTTTTCCTTTTTAAAACTAAGTGATTTATGTGATTGCTTTATTTTCAGGTATTATCATGTTAGAACCCCTTCATTTCTGAAGATACATGCACTAAGGAACTCTACACCTTGGCCCTTGATCAACTGTACTGTGTTACAAGAAACTCAGAGCCCTACATGGAACAATGTTTCTTACTCCTCTCTTTCATGGGTTGTTCATTTCAGGGAGTATAGTCCACCTAGTGAACACTAAGCAGTGTTTCAAAAGCATCAGACATTAAAAAGGGGACACGCACGGTTGGGTGTGTGCCCCCATTCCGGGCTTCTGTAGAAAGAAGAAAGGTAAATGCATCCCTTCAGAGACTGGGATAAAAACAGGATTATAAACACTATATTCACTTTGGAAAGGGGCCTAGAATAAAATCCTTAACACTGTGGGTCATTGTTGGCTTTAAAGGGAACTCATGAGGAAGTAACAAATAAAGATATCAAATAATGGTAATAATGATAACAAAAGCAAACACTTATACTAAGCCTGACATTGTATTCTGAATGCCAACTCTATGCTTTAACATGCATTAACTCATATAATTCTCAAAACAGCCCTATTCAGGAGATGCTATTCTTATCGACATTTTACAGGTTAGGAAACTGAGTACAGGGATTAAGAACTTTGCCCAAGGTTACAAAGCTCCATGTTCTTATGTTGTACTCTTTTATTACAAATCCAGATTAATGACTTTCTCTCTATAAACCAATGAGGAAAAAAAATCAAAATTCTTTTTTTTTTTAGATTTATTTATTTATTTGAGAGAGAGAGAGTGGGGGCAGGATCTGAGGGAGAGAGAGAAAGAATCTCAAGCAGACTCCCTGCTGAGCGTGGAGCCCAATGCGGGGCTCAATCTCATGACCCTGAGTTCATGACCTGAGCCAAAATCAAGAGTCAGTTGCTTAACCAACTGAGCCACCCAGGTGCCCCCCAAAATCAAAATTCTTAATTCTAACACTCATGCTACTATTTAGGAAAATTTGGTGAGGGATAGATTTCTGAATAGTAATAATGCTCTTCAATGTACTCTCCACTTATGAATCAGTCCACAGAGAAGAAGTCAGGAATTTATTATACCAAATTGGAAATTTTTTTTATTTTT